TCCAAATTTGAACGTAAAGTTGAGAGCACCTTGGGCCATGGGCACCTTTAGCAACCCCCGGTAGATGGGATCGGAGGATGGTGCCTCACTGCCGATATATCGGCGATTCGGTTCGACGAGCCCGATTTCCCGCGCCGGCGCCGCAGAAGCATCGGCGATGCGGCGCGATCCTCCGACCCCACCTACTCGCAGCCCAGCTGCCCAGCTGGGAGGCCTGGAACGCCGTGGGCGAGGGACAGAAGACCACCACTGCTGGGCTGAGGGAAGCCCCCACGGCGCCCCCCCAAGGCCGACCCCGAGCCTCCACCGGCGACCACCTGCGCGCGGCACTCGAACTTGGTCGCCGCGCGGGGGTCTTCACTGCTGGTGTGTCGGGGTCGGTCTTGGAGGGGTCCATAATGTCCTATCAACAGGTCAGGGTGGCATTTAGTGTCCCGCCCGACTGAACGTCCCGCCCGTCGTCGTCGTTGTCGCCGTCGTCGTCTCCGCCATCGTCTGTTGGCGGCGAAGAGGTGGGGGTTGGGGGATGGGAGGTTTTCCCATGTTTCCCCCCCAGGTCTCTATTCCTTCCTTCGGTTGCCCGTTTTCTTTACGATTATGTTTCTGCCTTGTCACACATTGTGTGTGCGTGTCATCTGTGTCAGCTGCTTCTGCCTTGCGACTCCCTCTCGTAGTACCGCAAAATTCGTGTCCATGGATTCCTGTTCGGGCGGGGTACGGATTGGGTTCCTCGCCGCAGTCCGCTAAATAACCTTTTTGCGTCGGAGAACGCGTCGGACAATACGCGTGATTCTTTTTGTGGCGAGTTACACCCGGATGTTCCTTATGGAGGGTTCTGAGGGATGCCCTCTTGGCGGGTTGCACAAGGATTCCGTCAGCGCCGCCCACAACTAGAATTTTTTCCTCTGGCGGCTCACACATCGAGTTCGTCTGGCGGCAGCCTCGCAAATGTATTCCTTGTGTGGCGGGCCACGTGCAGATTTTTTAATGGCTGCGTGACAGATTGTTGTTTGTTGCCTGGGCCGGTAAAAAGTGATTTCTTTTTTTTCGGGGTACGCAATGATGCCCTGTGTGGCGACCTACACTTGACATGGGATCTGCGCCGAAGACGTGGAACTGGTTTGATAAAGAAACTGCCCCGTGACGGTGGCAAAGTTGTTGGTAACGTGTTTGGGAATGCGTTTGGTACCCGCGAGGAGTTTGGGATTCCCATTACTAGTACATTATGTGTTGGTAGGCTTGCCAAAATTCGTCGTATGCGTTGGCAAAAAAGTGGTTTGGGAGATCGGTATGTGTCGGCAAAGGCGTTGGATACATGTTTTTGTTCGTTGTACGTGTTGGAGTTATGTTTTGCATACTGATGCGCCACACGTTGGTTTGACCGTGTGGTTGGATCACGGGCTATCCAGCACGCTGCGCGTGCCGATTGCATTGCCGAAGAAGGTTGGGTGATTGTCGTGATTTGTTGAAGTCGTTGGCAAAATAAGTTGGCACACCAATGTAGGCTTATTTGTCGCTAGGGTTCGGGTTGCATCGCTATGCTTGAGCGCCAGGGGCTTTTGAAGTAGCGCGGAACTTTCTCATGACCGCGAGCACGTCGTTTCGGGATTTGGGCGGTGCGGTAAGGAAATCCAGCCTAGTTGGTTTGCGTTCTTCCACTGCTGGTCTGTTGCGCCCACCAGGGTTCGTGCAACCGCACTGCATTCTTTGGTGTTGGTCTTGTGCCGCAGCGATTGCCCCGCTGTCGCGGCGCGCGACAACCTTTGCGTCTTCCGTACAACAAGACGATCACCACCCTCTCCTCTATTCCCGAGCCTTTGGCCGCCCATCCCTCTGTCCACCTCCTCGTCCTCCTTCGTCGGAGTCTGACTCGGACTCATCGTTCTACTTGGCCCTCCCACCCTTGCATTTCATCCTTGCCCTCCTGCACCTCCTGGCACGTGGCCTGGGCCTTGTTCTTTACGAGCACCCTCTGACTCCAGGCCCGACCCCATCCTCAACCTCGTTCCTCCTCCTCGTCCTGTTTCCTCCCCCCCCTCTCCTGCCGCATGCTCTTTAATCCGTGCCTCCTATCCTGCACCGTCGTCGTCCCTTGCCACCTCTTCTTTTCCCCCTCCCTGCTTTTCGCCCCGATCGTCTTTGTAGGGCAAACTGGAGAGGAAACGGATGACGTGGGGAAGAAACAGGAGGGGGAGGAGCAGCGGGAGGAGGAGACGGAGGAGGAGGAGGAGGAGGGCCAGAAACGCAGGACAAGGGCGCGAAAGGGGCGGAACATGAGGAGGAGGAGGACGACGAGGAGGAGAAGGAGGAGGAGTGGGGGGAGGAGGATGGTGAAGGGCTGCAGTGCACGTCGCGACTGGTTGAGGACATCGTCGGGCAACCCACTCACATCCAACTAGCCAGGTAGCCACTTGCTGGCGCATCCAGCTAGCCAGCGATCCGTTTCCTGGCAAACCAAGCCAATTCCGATTTCGACTCCCAACTCGACATCCGATCGCGTTGCCAACTACAATTTGAGCATGAATTCCTATTTCAAGTTCGGACTCGGAACTCAATGTTTTTGTTCAACCCCAAACTCGAAGTTTAACCCTTTTTCAATTCCTTCTTGGGAGCGGAGGGGGGTACTCACAGCGGTTCCCGGCACTTGACGGGAGGTGCACTGCATTGCGCAGAAGGGTTTTCAAAAAGGGGCCGAATCTTGCGCGCGATGTATCTCCGATTGTTTGATTTAGACGTAGTTTGTGCCCTCAATTGCTTGAAAGAGGGCCCCCTGGGAGGGGTGCCTCGTGCCCATCTGTTTTATACAAGCCCGCGTGCGATTTCTGCAGAGGCCCGCGCCTCCCTCGCAGGGGTGAGATGTGGGGGGGGGGCTGGTTTGGGCCAGTTGGCGGGGGGAGGGGCCGGGAGGGAGGTCCGAGCAGGGCAGGCCAGTTGCAAGCCTATCGCATGGCAGCGGCATTGAACATCGCCGCTGCGGCTCTGCACGGGCCTCCCCCCTGTGGATTCTGGCATTGAGGCGCCGCTCCGCCGCTCCCTGCAGGACATCCAGTGCTCCTGAGGACCCCACGGGACCCTCCAGAACTGCCCAGGGCCCTCCAGCACTTCCCAGGACTCCCCAGATCGCCGCAGGACGCACCTTGACCCATGACCCCGCAAGGCCCAGGACGACCCAGCGCCTCCGAGCACTCCCCAACTCTCGCCAGGACCCCACAGCCCCCCCCCCACTGCCGCGACCCCCTGCACCGTTGCCGCCCTTCCACACCAGCTCTTCCCAGAACAACCCGGGATTCCCCTATGGCAGATCGCGTGGCTAATGTTGACGCGGGTGCGCGTGCATGTTGCTACTCGCGTGGGCAATTTCGGAGTTGTTGCATGGGGCGTGTCGGCGTTGACATGTTCGCGGTTGCTGCGTGGTCTTGCCATTGCCGTGGAGAGATTCAGGGCTGTTGCGTGGGACGGTGGCATTGCCGTTGGAAGTTTCGGCGTTGTGTCATGTTACTGTCTTCAACCGCTTCGAGGTTGCTGCGCTGGCTCGTCACCGTCTGCGTGGGTTGCTTCTGGCGGTCAGCTTGAACTTGCCAGCTACTGGTCCCCCCGAAATTGCCAACAGCCGCGGCAACTGTCCATGCAGCAGACCCGAAACTCACAGCGGATATGCCAAGGGTCCAGGCAGCAGCCCCGAATCCCCCAACGCCAAGGGCAATGCCCCACGCAGCAACGCCGATTATCCCGGCGCTTCCAGCAACGCCCCACACGACAGTGAACGCCAAAGGCAATGCCAAATTCGATCGCAGCAGTTGCGGAAGTGCCAACAACCTCGCCGAAGTTTTTTTTTCAGCGGCTGCGAAAGTGGCAACGCTCTCCCCCACTTCTTTCTTAGCGGCTGCGAGAGTGACGACGCTCTTCCCCAGCTGTTTTTGCTTCCGTTTTACGGTATCAACTTCGATGCCCCCAAAAGCATCGGAAATGCACGTTTCTCCAGGTGCGTTTTCGCCCACGCCGAGGGCTGGGCCGACGTCGAGCGTGGCCGACGCTTCGGCCTGGACACGCTGTGCTCGCTGCACGGGTGCACCAAGCCTCTGGTGGTCGCCGCGTTCCTGACGCTGGTCGACGAGGCTGGCGGGCGCGAGCCAGGGGGGGCGGCGCGAGGGGGAGGGCCTTCCCGAGAGGGCGGGCCTCCCAGGAGGCGGGGCCTGCGCTGGAGGGCCCAGGTGTGATGCTCGGAAGGCTGCGAGGAGTGCCGAGGGGGGCGGTCCGAGGGGGCCCTCTGCTCTCTCCGGAGCCCTCCAGGCTTCTCAGGGCGGCAGGCGCCTCCCCCTTCGCGCCACCCTCTGTGAGCTCCGCCAACGAGGGTCGCGTGCGCCTGTCCCCGAAGAAGAAAAGACTGTACAGACAGAAGTTTCCGGAGGCCCGGCGGACCCCGGAACGTTCTTTTCAAAATCCAATCCCGGCTGTGGGTTCTTGCTATCTGTGGGATCCTTCCTCCGCCCCAGTCTCGCTCAAGCCCGCCCTCCCCCCTTCTCCACTCCACGAAATGTTGACCATCGGTCGTTGCGAGTAGGTACTTCGGGATCTCCCGATTCTGATATCATTTAGGCGCCTTCGTGTTTCAAGGATCGGGTGGCTGTCCCTCTCCCATCATTTTCCAGGAGTCGGGCGGAGATCCAATTTGCTTCCGACCCGTTCCTGCTTCGTGTTTCTACCGCCCGATGGCCACGTTTGTGCAGTCGTTTCGTCTTCCGTCGTCCGACCCCGTCGAGAAGTACGTGCCGTTCGCGCGCGTGGTGCGCAGCGGGTCGCGCGTGAGGCCAGGGCTGGACCTCAACGGTGTTTTGGCCATCTCGTGGGCCGTGCTGTTTTTCGCTCCGTTTTGCATCCAAGGCGAAGCGAAGGCAAAACGAGGAAGAACTACCAACAACACGAAACCGAGAAACACCGTCTAGGTTCAGCCCTGCGTGAGGCGAACGGGCTCTGCGCCCACCCTGCGCCACCTCCTGGCCATGACTGGGGGCCTCGGCTACACGGGCAGCCCCGGCTACGACGGGCTCATGAAGAGGGTTCGGGTAGTGCTACGGGGGGCCACCACTACATGGCTCATTTCGGTTCATCCGATTCCATACGGTTCGATTTCGATTGATTCCGATTCCGATGCGATTCGATTTCGGATTCCGATTTGGGCTCCGATTTCTCAATGGACGCCTACTCACTCGCCTGCCGTTTTCCGCCGATTCGACCTTTCCCCACTCGGCTGCCGATTTCCGCCGATCCGATTCATTTTGATTGCAGATCCGATTTTCTCGATTCGATTCTGGGCTCTCCTGCCACTAGGGTTCCTCGTCGCCACGACGGGATTCGCATCATAATCTTTGCCCAGATTCACCCCAAGAGAGGTCCAGTGAGTAGCGGTATCGATATCGCTTGGTTCCCCAGGATAGAGGAGGAGGGAGGATATCCGGCCACCACGGGCTCATGAAGAGGGTCCTCTTGAAAAGATAGCAGGTTCACAAACATGAAACGTTGAGGAGGTCTCCGCGCGGATTTCTCGGATCGGCGTTGGACCCCCCTCCCTGGCGCTCTCTGCGCGCCAGAGGCGGCGTCAGAGTCGCCACCAGGAGGGCCAACAGTTGATGGCGCCTTCTTCAAGCTTGGGCAGTGCCAGGGGCGGCCACCGCCAGGGCAATGCCACAGGATCGAGGAGGAGGGAGGATCGAAGACCAGTCGGGGAAGCAACACAGACAATGAATCGTCACCATCCCCAGGAAAATACGGGAAACTATGGGACGAGGGGGGGAACGACGAAAACTTAGCGAACATATGCGGCAACTTAGGGAATCCTGCGAGTTGTGTCTCTCTATCTGTGTGCCTCAGGGCCCTTTTTAGGAGACCGGGGAAGCTTCCCATTCTTGGGGGGCGCCTCTGGGGGTCCAGGGGGGCCCGCTCCCTGGAGGAGCTGGCGACCCCCTCGGTGTCCTCTTCGATCCCCGACCGACACTCGATATCGACGTCGGCCAGCCCGGTCCGCTTCGACTCCGATGTTCCGAGGATGCTGTGCTCGGCGGCGAGCGAAGGGGGGAAGCGAGAAAAGGGAAGGCCTCCTCAGAAGGCGGAGAGACTTCTCAGAAGCCCTCGCGCCTCCTGAGAGTGTTTGCTCCTGTTCTCGGGGAAGGCTCAGACAACTCCTCAGAAGGCCAGGGGACTTCAGAATCTCCTGAGAAGGCCGCCTCCTTCTCACTTCCCCCCCCTCGCTCGCCGCCGATATGCGGCCCGATGTTCGCATGGCGCTCTTGTGCATCCTGGCGCGGCCGATCCGATTCGATTTCGACTCTGTGCCGATGCATGGCGATCCGACTCACATGTAGATCCGACTTGATTTTCTGATTCGATGCTGACAGAATTTGTCCCCCTATTTCTGGGGCAACGTTATGGGGGGATAGGCTCAGGGGGGAGGCATTGGCCCCGTATCGCCCATTGATCGCTGATGGAGGCCCCATAGCCCACCCTGCCCAGGAGGGTGCGGATTCGATATCGGGGCATGATCGCTGGTGTATCCGCGGTGTCTCGCAGGTTCCAGGTCGATGTTTCCCCCCCACGACCTGGCCCGCCCCAAACGTTGCCCCTCACGTGATTGGTGACAAGCCTTGGCACTTCCCGGAAGGTGCAGCGCGGGCGGGTCGCAGATTTGGCCACGTTCTGCGAGGGGCTGGCCGAGCTGCCCCTGGTCGCCGAGCCTGGCAGGCGGTATGAGTACAGCTTCAGCACGGACGTGCTCGGCCGCGTCTGCGAGGTCGTCAGCGGAGACCAGCGGGGCGCACAAGCTGGGGGCGTCGGCGTGTGCGTGTGTGGATATCTTGGCCCGCCAGAGGACCCCAGCGCTGATCCGAAGGTGTTTTTTTTCGATGCCGTCCTTTTTCCACATCCCCAGGCATGCGATGTCTTGATTTCTTGAATGCTGGGTCTCCAGAAGTCCCGACCCTTTCTTCATGGCCGGTTTCTCATCCCGAGTAGTCTCTTGACAGTCTCCGAGCCTTGCGAGAGTTTCCGACTGCCTAAAACGGCCAAAACCTTCACGTCGGGATTTTGTCGCCCCCTCGTCCTACCATTTAGCCGTACCAATTGTATTGACAGTGGTCTCAGCATTTTTGTTTGTTGATTCGATTTCCAAGGCTTTCTATGGCCCCCTCGTCCGCGCACATGCCTCTGGCCATATGGTCCTAGGCCTCCCAGATGGGGTCGGAGTAGATGGGGTCGGAGTGTCGCGCCGCATCGCCGATGCATCGACGATGCGGCTCGATGCGGAGCCTGAACTTCTCCACGCAGATGTCGCCGATGCGTCGCCAGCGTCTGCGATGCATCGCCGATGTACCGCTGATGCATTGGCGATGCGGCGCGATCCTCCGACGGCCTCTACTTGGGAGGTTGATAGACCTCCTACCCTGACACGTCGATTAGCGAATTTACCGTTTTCGGTTCGCGAGAGGGCGTCGCGGCCGTCATTTTTTCGGGTCTAGGTCCGTCGGTTGCGGTCTTAGGCCGTTTTCACTAAAAGGTGGTTTATTAAAGGGAGTTTTCTCCACCGCCGACTACTGGTCCAACCGCCCTCTCGGCCTCCCTGTTCGGCGCTTCGGGATAGGGAGGTGGCGCGAGAGTGGGGATGCCTGCTTAGAAGGCGAGGGGGGGGGGGCTTCTGACAGGCAGGGGTCTTTTTCAGGGGGGGGCCCAGAGGCTTCCAAGAAGGCCGCTCTGAAGCTTAGGGATGGAAGAGGTACACTTCCCACTACCCGTGCCCCGTTTTCCCCTGTTGGGGCCTCCTGGGCGGCCCTCGTAGCCACCGCTGCATTCGCCTCGTCGGAACGCACCCCGGGAGAGGTCTGCGGAGCAGCGGGACCGGTATTTCTGAAGCAGTGGGGACCTATGAGAAGCCCCACGCCTTAGAAGTTGGCCCGCCTGCCTTTCGGGGAGCAAGACAATTGCACAAGCATCAAGTTTCAATGGGCCGCGCGGATCTCTTGGATCGGCATTGGCCCCCCCCCCCCCCTGGCGGCGCCTCCGGCGCTGACCCTGGCGCGCTCCGCTCGCCAGAGAGGGGGGGGGGGCAGCGCCGTTCCACGAAATCCGCGCGGACCTCCGAAAGTGTTTGTTTGTGGAGTTGTCTCTTCCTCTACAACGGTGGTTTCGCCTTCCTAGAGGGCCGCCCCCCTTGCGCCAACCTCCCCTGTGCGCGCCGCCGAGGAGAGACGCTGGAGGAGTTTGTGGGACGGCGGCTGCTCCAGCCACTGGGGATGAGTGACACGCACTTCGTGGTACCCAAGAGGAGTCGGGGGCGCCGACTGCATGAGGAGGTGGAGGAAGAGGAGGAGGAGGAGGAGGAGGAGGGGGAACAGGGGGAGGGGAGTGCGACTGGGGGAGGGGAGGGGCTGGCCAGAGGGGGGGGGGAGGCATCAACCACCACTCGCCCATTCCTCGCCGATCGGGGCATGCGTGTCCCAGCCTGCTCAGGAACGCTAAGCCTCCCCATCGGGGGCCCGCTGCCCATCCAGCGGCGATGTATCGTTGCTTTCGGGTCACTGTTCCCCTCCCCCCCGGTCCCCCCCTATGGCCCTATGATCTTGTGGGCCCGGCTCCCCTCATCATGGGGGAGGGCGAAGTCCAAAGAGTTTGGTGCGCGGAGCTGGCTTTCGCACCTGCCGCCCAGCACTGTCCTCGACTCGCGGCCGCGCCGTCGCCTGGGCTCCCCGGCCAATTTTGACCTCGGGGCCGGGCGCGGAGCCAGGGAGGAGGAGGAGGAGGAGGCAGGGCTCTTTGTGTGCAGTTCTTCTGCCACGCCCCGCTCTGCGCACGGCGCTTATCGTTTCCCCCTCTCGGTTGGAGCTGGCTGGGGGGCCGAGGTCGGGGGATCATCGGTTCCAGCCGTTTCAGAGCCAGAGCAGACCCTCCCAGCCGCCTCGAACCACTCGCCCCCCCTTGAGGAAGCAGCAGCGCGTGGCGCAGCTGTACAGGTGCGAGCCGTCTTCGCTTTCGAAGCGGCGACTCGGGGCTCAGCCGTTCGCCGCCAGGGCGTACGACGACCCCCAAAGCGCGCCCGGCATCCTCAGCGCGGGTGGCGGCATCTCAGGGGCGGCCAAGAGTGGGGTGATGATTAGGCGTGTGGATATCATGACCCAAGCCTTCGTGGGCCCGGGAAACGGTATGGGCGTGTCTCAGCCGTCTTCACAATTGCTGTTTCTGAAGCACGACAGCGTCAAGAACACGGCCCACTCGGAACAGAAAAAATGTTCGGGGTTGAGAATGGAAACGGAATTGGAAAACTAACGGCGACGGAACCCAGAAGCAGAAAGCGCCATGCCCGTTAACAAACATTGCAAATCGAAACCAGTCAACACATGATTGTGCCGTTTCCAGGGCTTGGTAAGGTTTAGGCCGTGATATCTCTGAGGATTTGATGCCCCCTTCTTCTCCTCTCCTTGGACGCCCCCCTCTTGGACGCCCCCGAGGCATCTTGAGCTACAAGGATTCGGGCCGCCCGAATGGGACGGAGCTCAGGCCCCCGGAGACCAGGACACAGATAAACCAGGACACAGAAAACCAAGGAAACGACATCCTTTCCTTCAAGGTCACTTTTTTCAGCACCCGTGCATGTTTTGTTTGCTGCTTTGCAGGATTCGGGTTCGTGTCCGGGTTTAGGGGGGTCTTGCAGGCTTTTGGGGCCTGTGTCCGGGTTCATTTAGAAATGCTGCAGTGCAGCATTTTGTTCGTGCCGCCGTTTGGAAAAATTGGTTTCGAGGGATGTTGGGTGTCCGGGTCAAGCGTGTCCGGGTCTACAAGGCCCTGAGGAGCAGATGGGGATTGCAGGATCTCAAGTGCATCTCTAGGGAGGATAGGCTCAGGGGGGGATGCATCGATTATTCATCGCCCATGAATCGTTGATGGGGTGGGCCAAAAGCCCCTCCAGCCCAAGACCGTGCGGATTCGCTATCGGGGGCCTATGGCCGATCCAGCAACGATTTGAGCGACGGAAAAGATGGTGTCAACTGCGCTGACATTGGCGCGTAAGCTCCCCGCGTAAGGTCGCGCGTAAGCGCCCTTGTTTCCAATGTAGCGCGCCGCGCTGGCGGCCCGCGCAAGACCTCGACGTCATCTCGCGTACGACCCGTTGTTGATCGTCGCTCCTACGTCGCCGATTCTAAGTCGACGCGTCCCCCTCGGAGCCGGTGCTCCCCTGGCGTTCCCTTTCGGGACTACACCGCATCGCCCACCGTCAGCGACTCGGTTTTATCCACGCCGACCGCGGCGATGCATCTCCGATGCGCTGGCGATGCGACGCTATCCTCCACACCCATCCACTCCTGCGCCATTTAGGGTGCCTCCGAAGGACCCGGGCATGTTGAGCACCGCGCGGGACTCGGGGGAGCAGAAAGACTATAGGCTTCCGCCACAGTCGCCGACCGCTCGACTGAGTTCAAGGTTTATGATGCTCCAACCTACTCTAGCCTTGATCACCAGGAAGAATTTCGAGCGCCCAAAACAAGTACCGAAACTGAAGGGTTTTCACGTGTCGGGCCCTGGGAGACACTCGCCCGACACTGTTTCGACACTCTTTTGACATTTTTTCGGGTGCTCGAGATTATTTCTGGGATGCGGTCCTTAAGTAGGATGGGGACAACATAATTCAAGGTTTTGATGGTGTTTTTCTGTGTTTGGGGGTTCTTGGGGCGGAAGGCTCGAATTTTCGGAAGCAGGCAATCGCAAACGGAAAGCGGATGCGAAAGCGGAGCCGCTTACGTGCGGCGCGAACGGTTGCGGGGTGTTCTTTTGGGAGGTCGGCCATTTGAACCGCATCCAAATGGAGGACCATCGGACGAAGAAATGAGCAAGAGTGGTGTGCGAAAGGTGTCATAAGCGGGACATCGCCGCGAAGGGTGTGGTCGATGAGTCGAAGCGGTTGAAGCGACTGTTGATGTGCGCCGCGTGCAAGAAACATTTCGTTCGGCAGGAGCACGCGGGCGCCAAACAAAAGAGCGAACACTTCACGAGAAAGAGTAGCATCGCATGCGCAGATTGCATTGCCGACGGGCTCACGTCGCGCAGTTGGCAGGCCTTTTTGTGCAGTTGCAAGTGCCTGCGGAAATTGCCGAAGTCGGCTGTCTCCGTGGACGCGAGCCATGTCGCGCTTGACGAGAACAGGGCACCTTGGAATGCAAGGCGCGCGAATGATTCCAGTAGGGCGCCCGTGCCATGGCCCGTAGAAGTAAGAGCCGCGGGGGTGCGAGCGAGAGGGAGGACGAAACCGATGGAACAAAACGATCGCGAAGAAGGTGAAAGCGGACGAGGAGGAGGAGGAGGAGGAGGAGGAGGAGGAGGACGAGGAGGAGGAGGAGGAAAAGCAAAGGGAAAATTGGGGAGACGCGGGAGGGGGGTCAGAGAAGAGGAGGAGGAGGACGAGGACGAGGAGGAGGAGTCACGATCTGGTCTTGAGGCGTCACGGGGGCGTCTTGGAGGTAAGGTATGGGCCTCTGGGGGGTTGGCTGGGAGCCTGTTGGGAACCTTTTTGGGCCTCGCTTGGGGCTCGCTGGGGCCCTCTTGGGGGGTTCTTGCAGCCGGATGAGGGTATCTCGGGGCCCAAGGGCCAAACAGTTGCCCTTCGGTCTCCGTCTTGGAGCCGTCTGGAGGCCTTCTTGGGCCGTTTTGGGCGTTTCTTGGGCCGTCGGTGGGCGCTCTTGGACCTTTTCTCGGCAGTTGCCGAGGCCGTCCTGGGAGGAAATGGAAGGTTTCATGGCCCGTGTCGGACGCTGCGAAACCGCAGGGGGCCAATATGGTAAACACGAACGTTTTACGAAGGGGATGGGGCGATTTCTGCTTCTTGGGGCTCGTTTGAGGCGCCTCATGGGGGCCTCTTGAGTCGTTTTGGGGGTTTCGGAGGCTGCCTGGAAACCATATCGGCTGTTTTGGAAGGATGTTTCGGCGACTCGCCGCCCTCTTGGATGGTCAAGGGGGCGTGTTGGTGCCCTCGTGGCTCGTTTTTGGGCCCTCTGTTCCGCCATGGCGCGTTCGGTAGTGGGTCGTCCGGGAGTAGCCCTTCCGACTCCTCGCATCTGCGACCGCGAACTGTTCGGAAACGCCGTGCGATAGCGAGCCATTCCCCCCAGACACGGAACCGCCCCCCGTCTTCAGGTGCCGCCATGGCTGGCCGCAGTGGTTATCCTTCTGATGGGTTTGTCAACCGCTGGAACCGCTCCCGTCGCCCCGGATATGCGCCTCCCTTTTAACCTGGACTTCAACCTGCAGGTGGAGCAGGAAGGGTTTTGGCAAAGGAGGCGGTGGCCAGCAACAGTTGGTTCAGAGGCGACGGGTTTGCTGCCAGTGCGGGTGCAAGAAGAACGTGGCGACGTGGACATGGTGCAAGCACTGTAAGTCGCCATGGTCACCGACATGTGGATGGACAGATCCTCCCACTAAGGATGGTACGCCCGTCAAGGGCAAGTCTTCTCTTGTGTTGGTCGGATTGTCTCATGATGCAATCGAACAAGTGGCTGTGCTCCTCGAGAAAGGAGGGGATGCCGAAGGAGGTGCTAGGTATCGAGCCGTGGCGCAAGATCGACGCTTGCTTTCCCCCGCACAGCCCCTGCAGTTCCAGGTCAACTCTGCGCGCGGCAAGCTCAGGCAGACGGAGAAGCGGCTTCGAGCTGCCCTCGTCAAGTACGAGGAATAGGAACAGCGCTCTTTGTCAACGCGAAGAGGTTGCCCCCTTGCGAAAGAAGCTGCAGACGGCCGAAGGCATGCATAAAGTCTTATTTGGTAAGCTTGCTCGTGAGCACTCTTCTGGGTGCGCAGTGCTCTCCGTCAAGGACATATTGGACGGGAAGGCCTACGACGTGCTCACTATGGACGTGGGCTTCCTCAACGTCGGCGACGCGGAGTACGGCGTCTCGCCGCAGGATCGTGAGGAGCTCGACCGTCGTTCCAAGCAACTGGCCGACGGAGCCAAGCACCTTTGCACTGCGCTGTTCAAGCAGGCCAGCGACCAAGCCGAGAAAGCACGCGAAGATCACGGAACACATCTGCGGCGCCTCGCGGCCAAGAGACGTCGCCAGGGTGACGCTCTTGCAGCGGCCCAACCAGCAGCACCTGCAGGAGAGGCCGACGGCGCATTTGTCGGTGGCGACGGTGCTGCAGCAGCTGCAGCAGCCGCATCGGCTGCGCCTGCCGGTGGAGCAGTTTCGGCAGGTGGAGCTGCATCGCCAACGAAGGCACCTGAGGCCCAGAGCCAGCCGTCAGAGCCTGCGCGCGAGCTTTCCACTGCGGAACTCAAGGCTCGCGCCGATGCTGCGCTCGCAGCCGCAGCACATTCAGAAGGTGAATCCCCCCCCCCCCCCCCCTGCTTAGGCCGTCGCCTAGATGCAGGGGGGGCGGCGCTCATCGCGCGTCTCGCACATGTCCCTTGGCCTGTCCGCCCTTCGTCCGTCGCTCCCTCCGCGCTCGTGGTGCCCGCTATCGAGGCCGAAGGGGCCTTCGGAATGCGGCGCGTCGCGCTTTGTAGAGGTCGCGGCGAGTTTTGTCGGGAGGTTGCCCAGGTCTTGGCTCGCTGCAGGCATCCGCCGCGAAGCCTGCCAGTTTTGTTTGTCCTCTGAAGGCCTGTCATTCCCTGGCCTCTCATGTGATTGTCGCGCCTGGCCCCGGGATTTCCACTGCCCTTTTTTTCCTCGCTTGCGACCCCAGGCCCCGCGCGCGGCCCCGCGGCGTCCGACGGGCTGAGCTCGATTTAGTTAGTTGTTCGCAGTCTCAACTCCAATAGCTGGGGCACTCTCAAGAAGGTGCTTCCTGGTCCGCCTGCTGCGGTTCTCCTGGTTCAGGAGCACAGGCTCGCCTCTAGTGAAGGAATGCACGCTGCTTCTCAGCGGTGCGATCGCACTGGTTGGAAGAGCTTGTGGGCCCCAGCTGTTTCGGTGCTCGCTAATCCTTTCCCGGATTGTTCCCCCCTTCGGAGGGGCACCGCGTCGCCGAGGGTCACCTCTCTCAAGTTAAGGCGCAGATCCCAGGACGTTTCACTTTCGACGCTTTCTCCGTTTACTTCAAGGCACGTCAGATCGCAACATGGACCTTCTCTGTCAGTTAGGCGCGCGCGCACGCCGCTCCCGCCTCGTTTGTCATAGGAAGGATGGGGATTGGAACATGTATCCCGATACGCGTCGCATCACTAAGTCTGCGTCGGAGATCCGGGGCCAGCTGACCCACGCTCCTGGGCGCGCCCATTTCGAAACGGGGGGGCCATCCACCCGTGCTTTCTCTGTGTGCAGTGGGGGCCTCGGTCAGGCCTTCTGCAGCTGTTCGGTCGTTCACAAAACGATTTCGAGCCCTCGTCGCCTGGTGGATCTAGCCGCCCACAAGTCTCCTGCGTCGTTGAAGGCTTGATGTTTCAGAAAGCCCCCATTCAGAGCGGGCCTGTTTTTGGCCCGGGGCCTGAGCCCCCCGACTGGACTCATGTTAGCACTCGTGCCCAGGCTGGTTCAGATATCGTCGCCGCAGGCGATGCAGCCGCTGCGTTCAGCCATATGTCTCCAGACCACGCGGCGCGGGCAGATGTGGCCGGGGCCGAGCTGGCGCAGATAACGGGGGCGGAGCAGGCGGTCAAGGGCACCAGAAGCAAGGGGCCTCAGCTCATGCGGAAAAGTGTTGGGAAGGGACGGACCACCCGGGCATCCTGATCATCGTGCCATCCTGTGGCTGGTATTTCAGTTTCTGCCTGCCTTAGTCTGCGCTGCTCGGACCAAGGTTCAGGCTCTTCAGCTTCGAGGATAGGCGCCTTGCACTGTGCCCCGCCTGCCTCTCTTAAACGTCGCTCTTCCATGTTCTCTGGCTCATTCGAACGCGTGCAAGACTTTGCTTCGGCGTTGGAAGGTAGGCCGCTGTCTTCGGAACAGATCGAGCCCGGCGCTGCTGCTTAGGCGGGTGCTACATTCAAGACGCGTGCTCAGGCTGCAGATAACGGGGGCGGAGCTGGCGGCCAAGGGCACCAGAAGCAAGGGGCCTCAGCTCATGCGGAAAAGTGTTGTGGGAAGGGACGGACAACCCGGGCATCCTGATCATCGTGCCATCCTGTGGCTGGTATCTCAGTTTCTGCCTGCCTTAGTCTGCGCTGCTCGGACCAAGGTTCAGGCTCTTCAGCTTGGAGGATAGGCGCCTTGCTCTGTGCCCCGCCTGCCTCTTTTAAACGTCGCTCTTCCATGTTCTCTGGCTCATTCGAACGCGTCCAAGATTTGGCTTCGGCGTTGGAAGGTAGGGGGCTGTCTTCGGAACAGATCGAGCCCGGTGCTGCTGCTTAGGTGGTTGCTACATTCAAGACGCGTGCCCAGGCTGATTGGCGTGCGTGGCTCACTAAGGGCATCGACCAGGGTGCTCGAAATGTCCATGCCATCGTGAAGGGCCCCACTCTATGGGTCCCCACTACCACCTTGTCCAGGGATGGGGCCATTGTGGCCGACCCCCTCAGCTTGCTGGCCAGTAAAGGGGAAACGTTTTCCACGTTTTGGGGGTCCGGAGTCGGCAATCTGGACCCCCCCATCTGGTTTCCTCTCTCCCTCGTGTAAAAAAACAGATGGGTTCGACTGCAGGCATTTCCAGATCTTGTTTGATGAAGGTCTTTTTTTGCTCTTGGCATGCTTCTTGAGTGAATGGGGTCGCCCGGCCAGCTGCCCAGACAGATCAGCGCCGTGCTTCTCGCCATGCTGACGAAACCTATTGGCGGCTACAAACCGATAGGGGTGCTCTGCGCCTGGCACACTGTGCGGGGTCGTCTTCAATGGCCTCGTGCCCTGTCCTGGGAGCAGCGACGCCCCCGTCTGCACTGGGCGCTGGCGCATTTCGCGGAGCCTCGGACGCGGTCTGGAGGCAGTCGGTTCGCGCCGAAATACGTCAGCTCCAGGAAGGAAGTTGGCGCCAGTGTTTGTTGTATACGAAATGCTGACATACTATGAAACGATCCACTTGGGCACGCTCGCTGCGCGTTGTGTGCAAGTGGAAATTCCTGAGGTGCTCACTCGGCTTACTCTTTTCGCTTATCGATGCGGCAGGTTTGTATCGATAGCTGGGCTCTTGGATTGCCCATACTTCGTGGGCAGCGGAGTGATCGCGGGATGCAGTATGGCGACCACCCATATCAGAGTGTATGCTATGTCCTCATTTGAGACCATCCCTATCTATCCCTCCCGTGAGTCCGATGTGTATTTCGATGCTACGACTAATTCATGCGCCGTCACTTCCAAACATGTTATTTCGTGTCTTGTGTCCTCCACTGCTGCGCTCCATCATGCTATCTTTGCCCCCGACAGGATGATTCGCCAGCTTCCCTTGGGTAAAATATGCACGGTTGCCCCGTGCAAAGCACTGGCCGTGATATTGCCCCTGCTCTTTGCCAGCTAGGAGGCAGGGTCACCGACGCTGCGGTTAACCTCGGAGTGGATTACACCGCAGGAGCTGCGGTGCGCGTTTCGGGGCGCCTTCCCAAGCTCAAAGCCCGAGTTGCTTTGGCTGGGCGGAAGGCTCGCCGTCTCAAACGGCAATCGGGGCCATAACCGAGCCCTGGGAGCGGCGAGCACGCGCGGCCCTCTCCCTAGCGGGGCGCGCGGCCGGACATTCTTGGAGTCAGCGACCAAGTTCTTCTGACTATGAGAAGGCATGCGTTCTCAACTGTCAGGCCTGTCTCGACAGGGCGCTCTCTCACTGCTGTCAGCATTATGTCAGAAGACCCTTGCTGGCGTGCTGCGCGCGCGCCGCTGCTGAGGTGGAGCAAAGGGATTTGGTTGGTCCAGACTCATGTTCCTCCTTTCTCTATCGAGCACCCTGGGTAAAGATGCAGTTGGCAGTCTGTCTTTGCTCCCCCTTATTATACCTGGCCCACGGTTCGTGGCCCCCTCCCGGCGCTTCGGCTCACGGTGGTGCAGGCTGGGCAATGAACAAGTACATGGCGATTACGGACGACCGCGGTTCTACTTTCGTTTTAGGCGTGGCCCTCCCCCCAGCCTCATGGATACCCCCTTTGCACGGGTGCCTATCACAGGAGCCTCGAGAGGGACTTGGGGGGGGGGTAAATGGGGCATGGATTGCAGGGTTTGCCTTGATGTCCCCAGTGCTGCCATTAACAATAAAACATCCCCCGCGCAGAGAGGGTGGATCAGGGCCTGCTCGCACGATGCGTTCTGGACTGCGGACAAAGCTCTTGCGCGCGGGTATCAGGTAGACGAGTTCTGTCCTCTTTGTCGGCAGGCACCAGGCAGCATCGCCCACCGCTTGCGGCAGTGCTCTTTCGGCGCGGTGGGGCAGTTGCGAGCTCAGCTTGCCCCTGCCTCGGCAGTCTCGGACTCCGCGCTAGCCTGGGCAGCTGAGGCCGACAGCCACGCGGCCGCCTTCTATAATCGTTGAGTTTTCGCTCATCCCACTGATGTCCTGCCGCGCCCAGCCGTGGAGGGCGCCGACGCCTTGCCGCGCGCTTGGCGCGCTGATGATCTTCAGGGTCCCGGGGGTCCCGCGGCCCCCGCCGAAGGGATGATGTGGGGCCACCTCTTGGATGGGTCCTGCCGGCGCCGCGTTGTTCGTGAGCTGCCCCGTGCTGCCTGGTGCATTTCTATGAATTCGATGACAGGAAGTGCCTCGGAAAGATTTGAGGGCCAGTCTGGGCCCAATTCCCGCGGACACCGCAGGCCACAGCATATTCGGCTCGCTGTGTTGGTGCCCAGTTTGTGCGCTTCCCCTCGGCCCTTTGCAGTGATTGTGCCAGCGTGGTGCGCCACTCGTTATTGCCGCTGCCTGAGCGCTACACAGGCCAGCGATCGCATCCTGGAATGAGTTTAAACGCTCACAATGTAAAAGATGATATGATTGAGTTCATTGCCAAGGTTAAGGCTAACCATGACGTTGACGAGGCAGGCATTTCAGTTCGTGACAGGTTCTTGCGTCTAGGCATCCGTGACGCAGGCGCTGGGGCCAAGCATGGTCTACAGCTTCACCCAACAGATGCTGCCGGCAATCTACAGGAAGATGCTCTGGTCACTGCACCCCGTGCCTACTGCATCCTGGCTGCCAACTTATTGCCGCTTTGGCCGAAGTTGGCGCTCGATGTCCCCTAGCTGCCTGTGCCTGCCGCCCCTAGCCAGGCCGAGATCTCACGCGCCTGGAAAAGGAATTCAGGCATTTGGAGATGCGCCCAGCGCATGCATGGCAAAGAGGCCCCCGCAAGAGCCCTCTCCAGGTAGGTGCAGCAATGGGTCAACGTGAGATGATAATGTTCTCCAAAGTTTAGGGTATAGAGTCATTGCGTTCCATTGTTCCGATGGCTCAGTGGTATTCATTTGTGTTAGAAGTAAATGTCACTTTACGGGCAGCGCGGTCAAGGGCCTTGGAGACCGCTGCGAAGGCAGGCCGTCCAGGCGTGCTGGCACTGGATGGAACTACCTTTGCCGCGGCTTACACCACCCCACGAGAAACGTCGAGCTGTTACAGCTTCTATTGACGATGTGCTTGGCTTAGTTTAAGCTCTTAGTTTTCTCGCCGCGAGTGGGCTCACGTGGCGGGTTCGATCTGGGGTTTTGTGACGTCCTGTTCGACTGTGCTGGTTGCGCTGCCAGCCCTGGAACTCGGGCCTTGGAGTTCCGTCGAGCAGGCGTCGCTGGCCGTTCTTTTTGCTGCCCAGTGCTGCCCTCGCCCCCCTGTTGCACGGCCGTGGGATGATGTCTCCCTCGCACTGACCGCTCCTCAGGGGCTTGCCTTTTCTGTGTCCAGAGCGCGCGTCAGGGCACGGGGGAGGCAACTCTGTCCTCCCTGACCGTGCGCCCTGCGAGGTGCTTGTGTTGTTATAGCTTTGCTTCCTGGCGTCAATTGAGCTCGCGTGGCAGGTTCGATCCGGGGTTTTGCGGCGTCCTGCTCGGCGGTGCTGGTTACCCAGCCAGCCCTGGAACTCGGGCTTCGGAGTTTCGAGCAGGCGCCGCTGGCCGTCCATTTCGCTGCCCTGTGCTGTCCTCGTCCACCTGTCGCCACGGCCGTGGGGCGATGTATCCCCTGCGGTGACTGCTGCTCAGGGGACCGCCACCTTTGTTGTCCTGAGTGCGCGCCAGGGCACGGAGGAGGGAACGTGCCATCCCCAGCCGCGCGCCCTGCCGCGGCCTTCAGGACTCTCTGGGCAGCTTCGTGCACAGCCGATGCTACCCAGTCGCCCTCGCCATAGGCGCGTGGTGGAAGGTCTTCTTTTTGAGGGTCAGAGCTGCTGTGTTGTCTGGCTTGGGCCCCCGTCCAGGTGTAGCTCGTTCCCGTCGGTTCGAGCGGGCCTGCGACTGGCCACCCGGCGTTGGGTCTCTGGGCCAAGTCTCGCGCTCGCGCCTTGGCGCGCCCGTCGCTCTCGCGCGCGCTGCTGCAGAGATTATTGATCGTCTCTGCTCGGCTGCACTTTGTTTTTTACTTTTGCATTGTCTCTGGTCTTGCAGGCCAGATAGTGACGCAATGTTTTTTTTTTTTTTTTTTTTTTTTCAACAGTGGCTTATCTCTTGCGCAGCTGGCGGATGCCCTGTCGTTGGCGTCTGAGCCGAGGGTCGATCCGTGGGTGGGGGGGCGTAGCGGGCGCTCCGAGAGGAAGTCGCGAAGCCCCCTCCCCGAAGCGGCACTCGCCGAGGCGAGGTCGCCCTTCTTCTTGCACCTGCTGCACGGTGCATGTAGCTTACAGCATGGCCCACAGTTGCTGTAAGGAGTCGCCTTTTTTGGCTTATGTGGTGAAGCCGTTGATGGCAAATCAAGAAAGGGTCGTCCGGGGTGAAGGGGCCGGGGGTCAAATTACCGGTCTGGGGTCCCAGAGGGCGGGGGGGGGTTATGGGAGGCCGGGACGGTCTCACACGCCTAGAGACCCATAAAGGGTCGGCGGACTCGGAGAACAAAAGCCGGCAAAAGCTTAAATGTTCGGGGGTCCTCGCGGGTCTTAGATCGGCACTGGATCTCTTTGGCGGCGCCCCTGGCGCTGCCCATGGTTCGCTCCGCGCACCAGGGATGTGGGCGCAGCGCCGATCCAAAGACTCGTCGCGGAACTCCAAGGTTCAGTGTGTATTGCGACGACGTTTGTTCGTCTTGAGAGGGACCAGAGGGACCGACGCCGCCTCCCTCCCGAACGTTCCCTGGGTGCGTTTTGGCCGGGGGTCTTGGGCAAATCAAGCCGTGGCGGCAAGGGCCCCCTTGAGGTCCTCCCAAGGCGAGGCCGTGCACCGCAGTCTCCCTTCCTCTTTTTATTTTCATGTTTATTAGTATTATTATTCTTATTCTTATTATTTTTATTATTAATATTATGATTCTTATTATTATTATGATTATTCTTATTGTTACCACTATTCGTATTGTCTTTTCGTTTTGACAGCGTGGTCTTTAAATACGTTGCCAGTGAGTGGTGGCGTCCGCATGTTGGCGCGAGCTGCAGAAGCATCTTGTCCATTTCCGTTTCCCCCTCATAATTCAGTCACCGGAAAACGAGGGAAGGGTATCAGTACCGATGTTTGATCATTTGTACCCGTTCCAGTTTTTCCCCTGGTCGTGGCCGTAGGTCCGTACCGTGGCTCTGCGGGTTCGGCCCTCTGAAATAATGATAATAATAATAGTACTAATAGTATTATTATTAATAATAATAATGATAGTAATAATAATACTAATAATATCACGAATATTAATAATAACAACAATACTAATAATAGCAATAATAATAATACCAGCTTGCGTTGCTGACGTGCCGTTAGCGATGAGGCTCTGCCCGCCTGTGGCCCAGGCGGCTGCCCCTTCGCGGGCATTCGGGCTTGACTTGTCTTGATGTATTATTCTATGAAACCGCGTGCCTTGGGCCTTGCGTCTTTCGTCGTCAGGCTCGTATCGGTTCATCTTCAGGCCTCCTCGTTCCACCATTCGGTGTAGAGATTTGCACGTGGATTCGTGCGATCAAAAAGCTGCCACCCGCTCCTTTGCTCCACGCTGCGGAGTAGGCTTGCTGCGGAGTGATACAGAGTTTGAGGCTGGAGCCATCATGGCCGTGCAGTTGTTTTTATGATGCTGCCAGAAGTGGCCCTGGCCCGAGGTGGCTCCACCTATTTCAGGGAGGCCCAGATGGCCTCCAGCGCACCCCGCACGAGGCTCAGAGAACCCCAGGTGCTCCAAAACGGCGCGAAAAATCGGGGGCGCTCCGGTAACCTCAGATTTGCTGCGGCGGCAAAACTCCGAGGACTACGCCCGGTTCTGCCAGATGCTGCTCGACGGCGGCGTCGGGCCAGGCCGCCGCCGGGTCCTGAGCGAGGCCACGGTCAGGCTGCTTTGGAGGGACGCGCTTGCGCCATACGCGCGGGCCGATGGGCGGGTGCCTGGCTGGAACGAGCCAGGGCCCGGGCGAAGGTACTGGGACCACGTCGGGTGGTCTTTGCTTGGCGCCCACGTGACCTTCTCGGACGGGCCCCGCGAGGACTGGTGTGAGGAGAAGGGAGGGGGCGTGCGCCGAGACCTCTGGTGGCCTGCACAGAACACAGGGGCGGAGGTTTTTGTTCGCCATTGTTTCATTGCTGATACACCTTAGGCGATGCTTAAGAAAACTTAAGTTTTCGGCCAGAGTCTCGATTATTTAATTTTGTTCAATGAAAATCCTAAGAGTTTAATGGAAATGTTGGGTTTTTGTTCAAGTTCTGAGACTATGAATTTCTTAACCCATGATTTCTTAAGCATTTCGCAAGGTGTACGCTGAAAAGTCGAAAGCTTAACGACCCTTGGGACGTCGAACTGGGCTGTTGCATGCCCTCACCATTGAGCCTAGAAACTACGGACGCATATGCGATGTTACCAATCTGTCCGAATTCGTATCATGGGCAAGGGCTATCGCAGACGCCTGCTGTGTGACATGGCCTGCCAGCCCTCGCGAAACATGTATGCTGATTATGGTACTGATCGAACTGATCATCCCGCCTGCCTGCGCCAAGCATCTAATGCTACTGCTTCGTTCCGTCACGTGCACTCCTCCAGAGCCGCCGAATCTCAGAGATCCTCCGATGTGTCATGGTCCGATGTTGTCCCGATGTGGGCTTTGTCTTATCGAGCGGTCCAGGGGCCGCGTATCGCAAGTCGCGCACCGAAGTGCATTCTTGCCCAGGTTCACTCGTCGCGTTTAGCCGAACAAATTGAAAGTCGTAAATCGTGAGGTCAGTGGTCTGGACATCCATCACCGAGATTCCGTAGTTCTGGCTTGCGCGCCCAGCTTTCCTCAGCGGAGGCCAGACCCTGGAGGCCACGAGGATATGAGGCCGACACGGGCTTGTTGGGTGTTCGTGGTTCAGTCGGTTCGGTTGCGTCACAGTCGGTTGCGTTCGGTCGGTCCGGTTTGGTCGGATCTTGCATCGCCGTGGCATCGTTACGCCCGACTAGGCTGCTGGCGGCCTGTCGGCGTCGGTCGGTTTCGGTTTCGCTGTCGGTTCGCATTGTCTTCCGCCGTGTTGTGGGTGTGGATTGCCTTAATAATCTCAGACCTCGGTCGGATTGTCCTTGTTCCACCGCGGCGTTTCCCCTTCATTTCGACCTCCAGGGGGGGGCGGCACCTTTTGCGGGCCCTGAGACCATGGAGCTTGGATTTGTTGCGAAAAGACTGCCTAAAGGAGGGGTCGAGATTTCTGGGGCCCGCGCCTTGGAAGTAGCAAGCCACTGGATGTCTCTGCACGAACCCATCGGTCGTTGAAAGTAGATATTTTTGGATTCCCATATTCCAGTTTGCTTTAAGCGCCTTCCGACTTTAATGATCGAATGGCCTCACCTTTTCCGTCCTCCCTGGGGGGCGGACGGAACCCAGTTTCAACGCCTCCTTACTTCATGTTTCTAGCTACTTCTTCCGACCGATGGGTAAGTGATGATGTCGATTATGTTCCTTCTCCTTCGAGGACGGGGTGGCACGCAAGGTCGGGGGCGGGGGGGGGCGCGCCACGCACACGCACACACGCGACACCGATTCTGGCCGGGCCGATCCGACGCCCAGGGTGGGCCATGATCTCCAATTTTTCCAAGACCCGGAGGGTCAAGCAATTGGTCAAACAGGAGTTGTCGGATGTCCGTTCAGATTTCTTTGACCAGCGCCGGCCTCCGCTTCTTGCGCTGCCCCTGGCGCGCTCGGCGCTCAGGAGAGGGGTCACGCGCTGATCCAAGAAAGGAATAAGAGGATGGGCTTTTGGCCAGGGTCAGTGTTCTATGCCTCACAGATGGGGTCGGAGTAGATGGGGTCGGAGGATCGCGCCACATCGGCGATGCATCGTCGATTGGGCTCGATGTGAGCCCTGTCTCCTTCACGTCGACGTCGCCGATGCATCGACCACGTCGATGATGCATCGCCGGTGCATCGCCGATGCTCCGACCCCATCTACTCCAACCCCATCTAGGAGGCCTCTAAGTGTGCGGAATGCTTGCGCCGCGTCGACGCGGCGGCGGCCCCAGCCCGCACGTTCAAGGTTGCACGCCGCCAGTGGCCCGGAACCGGCCGAGGTCTCACGATCGGCGCTGAGTTTGAGGATCTTCCGGCTGTGTGTTGGCCGAATGCGCATGCTTCAATATACCGCTCAGCTCCATCGATAATTACAGTGGACACCCAGGCCAAGAAACACCATGCTTGTCTCCAGGGTGCCCTGGGTTTCTTGGGTTTCAAGGTTATGCTTTTTGGAGAGCGCAACATTCCCATACCAAAAATCAACGGCCGCCCTGGGGTCTCAAGGTTGGGTTTCTTGTGGAAGGTTTCTTGTGGTCGAGCTCCTGCTGTAGCACGCAGCCTGTGCCGGCCCTCATTGCACCGCCTGGGTCGTATTGAAGGGCTGCGGTGGAGAAGCATCCGTCGGCGCTAAGACGCGTCCTGAAGGTAATCGGTGAAAGCCGGACAGCCGACGCGGCGTCGGAAGCCAGCGCCGACCGTCGACACGGCGCGAGACTTTCCCGTCGGCGGTGAGGGCCGGCGCCCTCCCCGCAAGGGGTCGTGCATGTTCATGGGCGGCGGCGGCGGCGCCTATTGGTGCATCGACGCGCGCCGCAGGCCCGTCCCGGCCCGGCCGGCCGGGCGCGCGGGAGCGCGCGCGCGGGGCGAGGGCATTTGCTCCACGTGGGAGGCCATGTGCTGTAGAGTGGCCTCTGGTGGTGCGCGGCGGAACGTTTTTACTGGGCGTCGGTTCGACAGGGGTTCTTCTTGCCTTGAGGGATGCGTTTTAGCAGCTGCGCCTGGCCGAGAGCGTTCTGGGGGTGCCCGAATCGTCCCGAAGGGCCGCCGGAAGCCCGAGGGAGTCCAGGAGGTAACCCGTCGCCAGAGTGGGCCCCTTTCCCCCCCAGCAGTGGCCTGCGCGCTCGGACTCGGCCATTCCATCCCGCGGCCCTGGAAGCCGCGCGGCCGAGAGGCCGTTCTCCTTCTCCCCGGAAGGTATCATGTAACGAGTGGTTGTCCCCCCTCCTCTGCCTCCAGCTTCGGGGGCGGAAAAGAGGGGGGTGATGACTAGGGGGGGGGGATATCATGGCGCGGGCCATGATATCTCCCCAGATCTCGTGGCGCCTCTTCTTGTTTCATTACGTCCCTGGTCCCCCCGCTGGGCCGCGCACATGCCGCCGGTCATGATTTGCGCCCCCCCCTCTTGAACACCCCCCTCTTTTCCGCTCCCGACAGCTCCCCCCTCGGGGCGGAGGGCGGGAGAAGAGGAGGGGAGGAGTGGGGAGGGAGAGAGGGCACGGTGATGGAAGGAGGACGAGAGGATGGAGGAGAGAGACGACGAGCCAGGAGGGAGGGAGGGAGGAAATGAGAGAAGGAGGGATGCGCGCGCGCATCGTCGGCTTGGGTCCTGCCCGTGCTCGGTGGCTGTCTGCTCGGGCGGGATGGTGCACGACGTACAGTCGACCCGAATGGTAATGCTGGGCAACCTTCCCAAGCGTACCCCCCTGGGCATCCCTGCACCTTCGGCCCATCCTTGGCGAGTTTCGCTGGCCGTGCCCCGCTCGCAAAGTGTCGTCATGACCTTCCAAGGCCCTTGCACCCTTACCGCGCATCCTTCTGATACGGGTGGACTGTACCACCTTCGCCACCCGCCCGTGCTGGGAGTCGCTGTGGCGCCACCTCGGGAGAGCAACAAAAAGCAACGGAGGAGAGGAGGGGCGGCGCCTGCGAGCATGGCAGGTCCGACCCGGGCCTCCTTCTTAGCCTCCTGGTCCCGAACCGCCCTCGCCCCCCTGGGGTTGGCTCGGAGAAGATCGGCGGCGAGCGAGGGGGGAAATGCGAAGGAGAAGGCCTTCTTAGAAGACTCGGAAGTCTCCAGGCCTTCTGAGAAGTCTTCTGAGCCTCCCCCGAGGACAAAGAACTTCTCAAACAGCGCGAGGGCTTCTGAGACGTCCCGCCGCCTTCTGCCAAAGCCTTCTCCTTCTCGCTTCCCCCCCCGCTCGCCGCCGAGAAGAGGCCAGGCCGCGGCGGGGCATCCCTTTCCCGCGGGGCCACTCTGGCCCGTCGGCGCTCCTGCGCCTCAGCACGGTCGGCTTCAACCCCGGCCAGCTTGGCAAGGGGGTTCAGGGGCGAGGGGTGCTCGGGTGCGGCCAAGAGGGGGGTGATGACTGGGGGGGGGGGAATATCATGGGGTGGGCCATGATGATTTCTCAGACTTCATGGCGCCTTTTCTTTTCTCATTACGTGCCTGACCCCCCCCCCCTGGGCCACGCACATGTCACCGGCCATGATTTGCGCCTCCCTTCGTGAGCGGGTGGCGGGGAGGGGGGAGGGGAGCTCGTAAGTTTTAGGCTGGTGCTCAAGCCAGGGCACGCAAAGCTGCAGACAAGAATGCGCACAGTTCCGGCGCACAACCTTTGGGGTGCGTGATCGCGGAGGTGACGATGAAGAAACAACATCATCAAAATAGTTCACGTTTGCATCACGTTCGCGTCGTAGAGCGATTCCGCTTCTCAGCACAGGCGGGCAGGAGGCGGAGCTCTCTCGCGGGAAGACGTGGGGGGTGCGTTTGCCCGCGGTCGGCCCCGCTAGCCGAAGCGAAGGGGGGGGGGCTCGGAGGCACCCTCGCCTCGGGGCGGCCGCTTCTCCTAGAGCACGCGCGGGGCTCGGGTGTGCCAAATCTCGGGGTTTGCCGCCCCCTTCCCCCTTTCTTCCCCTCCGCATCTATGTCCCTCGCTGTCCTTCTCTTTATATACCTTCTCTTTTTTTGTTTTTTTTCTCTCTCTCTCTCTCTCTCTTTCTCTCTCTCTCTCTCTCTCTTTCTCTCTCTCTCTCTCTCTCTTTCTCTCTCTCTCGCTCTCGCTCTCTCTCTCTCTCTCTCTCTGTCCCGCCCAGTATCCACAATATACCTCCAGGTCGTTCTCCCCATTCGTCCAGTGTCGCACGTCGCCGTTTAAGAAACAGTCGCACGCAATGACTCTCTTATATTCTGGCGTAGCTCAGTTCAGTGGTTTCGGCGACGGGTCATCAGATGCCGAGTGCCGCCTGAAAAAGGCAGGGCGTTGTTTTTCTATCCGTCGTGTTGGTTCAGAACGCTACAGGTTTGCACAGTTTCCCGACCTCAAGAGCTGATGTGGCGATGGCAACCCTCTTCCGCGCTCTACAGCAGGGGCATAATCATGTTCATCTAGGACGACTCCTCGGACCGCGTGTGCAATGGATCGTTGGGGTGCACTGATCGGCGACGGTTTACTGCGGTGGATGGACACTGTGTTCCAATTGTTCGAGCGCGCGGAGCAGGAGGAGACGGTGAGATACGTTCGCCTCCCAACCTCCGAAGAGGCATGCGGGCGCCTCATGGACCGTTGGCCGCCCCCATACAGGCACGATACGGACTATTGCCATGTACGTATCATCATCCAGATTGCCTTCGACGAGGAGGCCTCGTACCACAAGGCGAAGCAGGCAGCGCGCTTCGAATGTGGATTTGGTATCGAATCTTTCACCGTCACGCTGTTCCTGGATGTTCTAATCTCCTCCCATTCATACTTGAATGCGTTGCTTTCTCCTCGCGGTGCAGTCTGGATTGCATTACTTGAATGTTAACTGTCAAACACCTGCGGTGCGTGCACTTGTGGAGCATCGCCAGTTGTGAAAATTGGCGTTCTTCCGAATTCGACGGGCCCCGCTGCAGGCCGTGGTGCAAGGTCGGGCGTGCCAAGCGTTCACGATGGCCGCGTCCGGCCTTCGCGCGACCATCAACGATTGGGAGCAACCATTGCACCTCAAGGTGCTGAGCCTCTTCCTTGGAGCTCCGCAGTCCGAGTGGCGAACTGGCCGTGGAGGGTTGTACATTGGCAGAGCGCTGCTCATGCATTCCGCTCTACCAGGTCTTCTTGGTCGCGTGGTGGAACATCTCTCCAGCAACGCGCACCGACCGCGGCACCAGGCGTTTACACGTACCGTAGGGGGTTTGGGTTTTATTTCCCCATATCCTAAGATGGGGTTCTTGTTATTACTTGGACGCATCCTACTCCTTCTCCTCCCTCCTCCTTCCTCCTCCCCTCCTCCTCTTTCCTCATACTCAGACCTACTCATACTCAGACTTACTCATGCTCAGACTTACTCATACTCAGACCTACTCATACTCAGACTTACTCACACTCAGACATATTCATACACAGACTTACTCATACACAGACTTACTCACACCCAGACGTACTCATACACAGACTTACTCATACCCAGACTTACACATACACAGTATTACTCATACTCAGACTTACTCATACCCAGACGTACACATAAACAGATTTTCTCACGCTTGGAGAGCAGATTGTGAGGATGTCTCAGGCGGGGCGCTGGTTTCAGCACCCCTAAGGGGAGCCGCCAGGGGTGTTTGCACGGGCTCGTTCGCGGCCATTTTGTGGGGATGTCTCAGGCGGTTTGCTTGTTTCTGGGCCCAACATCCTTCGCTTTCGGAGCAGATTTGGAGGATGTCTCGAGCGAGGCGCTCATTTCAGCACCCCTAAGGGGAGCCGCCATGCACGGGCTCGTTCGCGGCCGAGCCCAACATCCTTCGCTTTCTGGAGGATGTCTCACAGCACCCCTAAGGGGAGCCGCCAGGGGTGGTTGCACGGGCTCGTTCGCGGCCATTTTGTGGGGATGTCTCAGGCGGTTTGCTTGTTTCTGGGCCCAACATCCTTCGCTTTCGGAGCAGATTTGGAGGATGTCTCGAGCGAGGCGCTCATTTCAGCACCCCTAAGGGGAGCCGCCAGGGGTGGTTGCACGGGCTCGTTCGCGGCCATTTTGTGGGGATGTCTCAGGCGGTTTGCTTGTTTCTGGGCCCAACATCCTTCGCTTCGGAGCAGATTTGGAGGATGTCTCGAGCGAGGCGCTCATTTCAGCACCCCTAAGGGGAGCCGCCAGGGGTGGTTGCACGGGCTCGTTCGCGGCCATTTTGTGGGGATGTCTCAGGCGGTTTGCTGTTTCTGGGCCCAACATCCTTCGCTTTCGGAGCAGATTTGGAGGATGTCTCGAGCGAGGCGCTCATTTCAGCACCCCTAAGGGGAGCCGCCAGGGGTGTTTGCACGGGCTCGTTCGCGGCCATTTTGTGGGGATGTCTCAGGCGGTTTGCTTGTTTCTGGGCCCAACATCCTTCGCTTTCGGAGCAGATTTGGAGGATGTCTCGAGCGAGGCGCTCATTTCAGCACCCCTAAGGGGAGCCGCCAGGGGTGTTTGCACGGGCTCGTTCGCGGCCATTTTGTGGGGATGTCTCAGGCGGTTTGCTTGTTTCTGGGCCCAACATCCTTCGCTTTCGGAGCAGATTTGGAGGATGTCTCGAGCGAGGCGCTCATTTTCACCCCCCAGGTGGGCCAGATTTTGAGGATGTCTCGATCGGTTTGCTTGTTTTGGTGGCCAGGCTCGTGGGCGCAGATTCTTCTCAGGATGCCACAGGAGGCCCCAACAGGCTCCAGGAGGCCCCAGGAGACCACATGAGGTCCCAGGAGGCATCAGGAGGCCACAGAAAGACTCAAGAGGCCACAGGATGTCCCAAGAGGCTCCAGGAGGCCCCAGGAAGCTCCAGAAGGCCTCGGGAAACCACAGGAGGCCCCAGGAGGCAACAGGAAGCGCCAGGAGGCCTCGGAAGGCAACAGGAGGCCCCGAGAGGCCCCAGGAGCAGGAGGCCTCAGAAGGCAACAGGAGTGGCTCCAATCCCATGTGTGTTACGTATGCTCCTATCGATTGGGCCTCACCTGGAGCACGATTATTTGATGTTCTACGTATGTTTCTATAGATGGTCCTTCCCCTGTGTACACAATCCTAAATGTTTTACTCATGTTCCTATGTATTGGGCCTCTCCTGGGGCACGAGTCCTTGGTGTTTTACGCGTGTTCCTATAGATTGCCCGTCTCCTGTGGCTCTAATCCCGAGCCGAGGGCCCCCCCTCCTGCTCCCAGCTCGCTGGACGTCGGCAGGCGTAACACGGCGGCCCACCACTTCCGAGTGCAGGCTGCCGACATCGCCAAGGTGGGCCAGCAGGAGCTCAACGCGGTGCAGCGCGAGGCGCGCAGGGCTGGCCCCCGCAGGTCTGCTCGGCGCACGCGGCGCGACCGCCCAGGAGGACAGCTACGGCAAGGGCGCGGCGCTGCTGGCCGCGGACGTGCTGATCTTCCTCCTCGCACGGCTGGTGCTGCCCTTCTTCACCGCCGTGTGCCTGCCCAGCGCTCGGCGTCCGAGAGAGTGTCGACGGGCTGGGGCGTGGCCCGCAGGCGCGGGCGCAGCCTTCCCGCTGGCGCTCGCTTCGCACTTGCTGAGCGCGTGTGCAGTGCTAGCCAGCCTCCCGTGGCCCCTTTGGCGTCTGGGGCGCTGTGGTGGCAAGCTGGCTTCGAGGATGCGGAGGCTAGCGGTGCGGTGGCGCACGAGGACTGCGACGTCGGCGGCTCGGCGGGCATCGACGCTCCTGCTCCCCTGCCTGCTGCGCATGGTGGTTTTCTTCATCCTCTTCCTGATCTTCTTCTTGGCCCTGGCGAGGCGTGCAGCACGGCGTGCACTTCTTCTCCTCCTGTCGGCGCGGACCCCAGTATCGTCTCGGACTACCTGATGGCCAACGAAGCTGCCCTCCTCTGCGGGAGCAGCGCGGTTGCCACCAGCGGCACGGACGACGAGCGGGACACGCAGGAGGACGGCGGCCGAGTACAGGGACAGGACCGCGCTCCCAGCCCATCTTCGACTTCTCCTCGCCTCGGCGGATTCTACGGCGTCGCGCAGGAGCTCGGTGAGGATGGAGGGGGTGCCGACGGCGTGGACGGCTTCGGCAGCGTGAACGGCGCCTCGGCCACGGCTGCTCCTGCGCGCGGGCCCGCGCGGCTCTTCGCGCTACGCCGCCACGTCTACGCGGCGACCGTGGCCCTCACGGTCGACCGCGACATCCGGCGACCGGGCTGGCAGTGCGACGGCTGCGACGTCGACCCTCCGGTGCTGTCGGCTTCTGAGGCTGCCGCTGGCCGAGAGTGGCTCCGCTCCCAGTTCGGGCTTGGGTCCCCGTGGCGGGCTTTGGCGAGCAAGGAGCGGAGGCGGCGCCCTCCCGCCTGAGCGGGCCGTGCTGAGGGGCTCGGCATTCGGCCCTCAGATGTCGGCGCGTTCCCTCGGGCGTCTTGCGGACGGGCAAGCGCCTGAGCGAGTGAGGTGGGGAGTGCCTTCGGTGGTCTGGGCCTTTTCAGGCTCGGCACGGGGTGGTTGGTGGCTCGCGTGGCCGCCTCGCCTGACGGCGCACACCCACGTGGCGTGGCGAGTGTGCGGCAAAGACGGGCAAGCGCCTGAGTGAATGAGGTGGGGAGTGCCCTCGGTGGTCTGAGCCTTTTCAGGCTCGGCACGGGGTGGATGGTGGCTCGCGCGGCCGCCTCACCTGACGGCGCACGCCCACGCGGCGCGGCGAGCGCGCGGCTACTTGGAGGCCGCTGTTTGCGGAGCCTCCTGGCCGCATTTTGCGGCTCTCGCCTTCTTGGCGGCAGGATCGGCTCGTGCTGCACGGGCTGCCTCGTCATTAAAAGTGGCTCTAATCCGCACTGTTTGATGTGCGTCTGTTGCTATAGATTGCGCCTCTCCTGGGGCGCGAAACCTTCCTAGGAGGTCCCAGGAGGTCCCAAGAGGCCCCTGGAGACCCCAGGAAGCCCCAGTAGGTTCCAGGAGGCCCCAGGAGGCCCCAGGCTCATGCGCAGAGACGCGCTCGTAGCACTGAGGCTCATTCACACTCCAATTCATTCGCAGTCAGATTGATGCCCAGACCGTCACAACTGAAGCCCGTTAATATTCGAAAGCTCTTGCGCCTAGACATTCACGGCGGACAAGTCCATGCGAGTAGATGCACATATGGGGAGCTCCACGCAGTGAATAATTCCCGTCTCTTTGTGGTGGTTTGCCATTTTTCTTTTCGCGCAGAGCAGGCATCTTCCATTCTATGGCGATGGCGATCCGGCGTTGCAACCTGACGTGTAATCGAAGTGATGTCATGGAGTCTGAGGCAGTCAGCCACCGTCGAGGTGCTGGCCAAGTCCACGCAATGGAGGAGACGCGCAGGACAAAGGGGCACCGCCTACCGTCGTGGCGCAGAAGGCCGCGCGCCAGCAATGGTGCACCAGCGTGTCTCTCTGCGGTTCCAGATGCCAGATCCGAGTACTTGCCGCCCAGTGCAGATCAAGAAGTCCCAGCAGCCTATCCAGGGGCGTTGTCCGACTCCACGCCGTTCGCAGTCTTCTACAAGTTACACAAGCGCGCGCCGTGATTTCATGGGTGAGCTTGGACCATTGTAGCTCTTGGGGGGACGACGTCTCGGGCTCCTTCTGGATTCCTCTGCGTCGAAGTGGAAAGCTGTCCCCGCCCTCAAGCACTGGGGCCTTTCCGAGTTAGGGGCGCGCCTATATCTCGCAGCTTCGATGGTCCGTGTTTTCTAGCTCCTCCGACGCCCATGACAACTTAGCGCTCGAAGTCCCCATCTCGTCCGACCGTCAGCGTTCCAGGCCGCGCATCGAGCACCGCGAGAGGGCAGTCTTCGCCAGGGGGGCCCAGCTGGCAGGACCGCGTCGCGGCATGCCGCTTCCGCGCGGACTTCACGCCTGGTGCTCCCCCTCGCGCGCCGAGCCCTTCCGCCGGCTCCGCGGCGTCTTCGCCGGCTGGGCGGGCCGCGGAGGGTGCCGGTTAGTCCGCGCCCGCGCCGAACGTTGCGCGGGGCCCGCGCAACCTCGGGGGCGTCGGCAGCAAGGGCGCGCGCGCTGCCTCGCGACCCCCGCCGGGGCCTCCGCTGTCGGGGCACGCGGCGGCCGCTGAGTCGCGTCGCCAGAAGCACTGCGCGAGCGGGGCACCGCGGAGCAGGCGATGGAGCAGAATTTTCTTGAACCCGACGAGCGCGCGATCATTGCAGGCGACGAAGAGCGCGACAAAGTCCGGGCTTATGACGCCCATGACTTGGGGTTTTTCCCACCGGCTCGCGATGGCAGGCCCGGATTGGATGCTTCGGCTGATGCGTCGCCGAGGGGCGCGGGCGCGGGCCGCGCGGTCGCCGCGCCGCCGCCGCGCTTGCGCGCGCCGAGGCTTGCTGTCATCATCGGCGGGCACCACGCCAATGCCACGAGCGACTTTCTCTCCGCTTGATGAGGGGGCCTGCTGCGAGTCGTTCCAGAGCTACCCGTGCAGGGTCGTGATCTGTTCCGACGCTCTCGGGGCGCGCAGTCCTCGAATCGTTGAGCGCGCAGCTCGGGGGCTTCTATCGGAGGAGAAGTCTAAGCCGGCGGTTGCCAGCAATGCCGCGTGAAATTCAGCGCCCGTCGGCCACGCACCCCGATCTCGCCCCTCGGCGCGCGCGCGTCTTCCGGCCCGCGCCCCTAGATCAGCGGCGCGGCGGCAGATGCGGGCCGCGGGCGCGCGGGCAGCGTCGGGGGCCTGCGAGGAACTCGCGGCGGGGATGGTCGCGCGACTAGGCGCGCATGCGACCCCGGTCAATATTTCAGCGATCTCGAAATCCCCATGCAAAGACATTGGACTGGATCGACCCCGCGGTCTCCTTGGGTCGGCGAGGCGCGGCGACTCGCGATCGGAAAGGGGTCTTATCAGGCTTAGCCCTGCGCTCGGCCAGTGGGTCCGCGGCTGGGCAGCGCTGGCTCGACGCGGCCCCCTGGAGTGGATGTTCCGCTCCTAGCCCAGAATGGCCGCGCGGGCGACGTAGCTGGCGCGCGCGCGCCGTGGCGGTGCACGCACGCATGTCTACGCGAATCGCCCCCCATGCGTCTCGGCCCCGCGCCCAGCGCAGGGGCCATCGCGGAGCCGCGCGCCTGGATGGATCTGGGGGCGCGAGCCGCGGGCTCCGAGTTATTCGCCCCGCCCCCGCCCAAAAAGGCCGAATCGCCCCGGCTCGACTGGCGGCTTGGGAACGCAACCGAAGGCCGGCGTCAACGAGCGCCGCCACCCGCGAACGCCCGCAGCGTTCGCCCCTTTTTCCGCAGATTTGCTCGCGCAGCGCCTCGACCCATCAATCGGAGCCGCGACGGGTTGTGCTCTTGAGTTGGCTTCGGATTTTTCTGGATGGGCTACCCCTTGACATCGCAATCGTTAGTGCCCATGCTGCCCCGTGGAGCGTTTCTGCTGGGATGGCCATCATTCCTGCGCGCGCGGCGCCGCCGCCTGCGATGCTCAGCCGCGGGCAATGGCTCTGGCCAGCACTAGGGGCAGCGGTTCTTGGAGCGGCCACCGCGTCTACAGGAGCCACGACCAAGGGCGCGATCGCGATCGCGATCGAGACCAACGAGACGACCGCCGCTCCGACCGCAACCGTCGGGGCCGCCGAGATTCCACATCAGGCCGCGATCGCGGCCGAGACCGCGATCGGGGCCGCCGCAACGACGAGGTCGCAGTGGTAGTCCTCCGCGAGCAGGTCGGGGGCGCAGAGATGGGGCGCGCAGCCTACTCGCATGACGCAACCTGCCGCGAGCGGAAGTTGGAGCCGCGCGCAAAAGGGGCGCGCCGCGAGGGGGGTGAAGTCCGCGCCCGCCAGCCAGGAGGAGGGGCCCGGGGCGGCGTTGGCGCCTCGTCGTGGTCCGTCTACGCCGCCAGCACGTTCCCCTGTCTAGTCCGCTTCAGGCCCTCTGTCGCGATCAGGGGCGGGGCGGCTCCAGACCGTCGTCGGTGTCAAGGTCAAGCTGCCAGCTACTCCTGCCAGAGACGAGACCCAGGAAGGTGTCGGGAAAGCTTTGTCCCACGACCCGGCAGCGCGTCGCCAATGAGATCATCTTCGCAAGCGCGCCCTTCAAGAAGCTTCCCAGAGGTGCGTTAAGCTTAAAATTTACGGTGCAACTTAAAATTTACGATGACGCTTAAATTTTAAGATGAAACTTAAAATTTAACATGTTTTCCATAATTTAAGATGTTGATAAAATTTAAGATGAAAATGCATGCGCATTTTTGCCAAGTTGCAATGCACTGATAAAAACACATCCGTGTCAGTGCACAACGCTCACCATTATTTACAACATCCAAAAGATCTGTTGTATTTTCACACAGTCGTTGTCGCACGCGTGCGCCTGCATAACAACGGAGGCGCATTCGACTGCGCGGCGCCATGCGCGGCGCGGAAACATACATTTGTTTGTTCAAGGACATCGTTTTTGTCCATGTGCGCAAGTTCGTCAGCATTTCGGGCCGCAGTTGGGGAAATGTGATGTCCGCCCGTCGCGGTAAATTTGTCATTCCGCACGGGCTCGTGAGATTCTCTCGTTTTTTTTTTTTCCGCTGGTCGTCCAGCGCGCGGTGTGAAATGCGGCGGCGCACGCAGTGCCATCGCGGGTCCATGATCGATGCTTCTGTAGTGGCGCCGATCGCCAGTGAACAAAAACAGTTTCGCGAGCGAGGCTTTTCGTGAGTGTTGCGCGCGTCGTTTGCAAGCGCGGCGTCAGTTCGCGCGGGCGGCGCGTGCGTTTCCGTGGGGGTCGCGTACGCGTTCGCAAGCGGGGTGGTGGTGCATTGTCGTAAGGGCGGGGTGGGTGGGCGGGAGGTCGTGTACGCTTTCGGCAGAGAG